CTGTGGAACAATTAAATGAATAAGCGGCTTTTCTGTGTTGTCGTTCTTGTCAGTCGTCCATCTGTTATTATCCACTCAAAAAATATCAATTCCTTACACGTGCTTTTAATAATCTGAACTTTTATAAGTGGTGCGTTTTCAATGTTGTTCAGTATATTTGATATCAGAAGACACGAGGGTGAGATTCTATATATCATCAAAAATCACTCTTCATTAGTTTTGAATGAAAATTGTACATCTCTGAACATTGTTCTGTCATTAGACTTGCAGTGCAGCGATGCCATACCATTGTGACGTCATCAAGTTCATGACATCATAGCATTGTCAGCTCATTCTACAAAATCTACTGTCAAATCGATATCTCCTAGGAGATATCGTTTGATCTCACACTAGCAATATCTCCTGTGAAACACAGTTAAGTTCAAGTTCTGCCATCCCTCTATATAACTATATAACTAAATTAATGTCATCTACATGGAGCAGTAAACTACTGACGACTGAAAGTAAGAATCCGGTGTAAGTTGGAGAAAAGCATTTCTTTAGATCCGGTCCATAATTTCACTTGTTTTGTGTCCATTTCCTGTGTAGTGTTTAACACAAGTCTGATATGAACTTTAGAAGTAGTTACACAACCGTGTCAAGACTTCTTTATAGTTCCACTTGGACTTTTTGGGAGGATATTGCATATATATATGCCATTTAATAAGAAGGTTGTACTCAGGTTTTATGCTTGAAACTTTTTAGACATCAAGTTCCAAGATGTAGTCATTGGAAATAACACCAGAAAGCCCACACTACCAGTAGAAGATGGTGTGGCGGCAGTACACCCGTCAGGCAACAGGTACATTAGTGTACCCATAGGACAGGTGAGGAATGGGCTGTCTGTTACAATTCCCGGTATCTCCACTCCAATGACCATACAGAAGATGCAGCAAATGAATGATGATATCCACAATTATGATGTAAATTTCCTGAATTGATACTTCGTCCTTCTTGACAGGCAAGATGCTATAATGGAAGGAAATCTCGACCTGTGCAACATCGTGTTGAAGTCCATGACACCACTGTTTCATTCACACTCATGCCTATCCAAATATATGACTGTGTGTCCGGACTTCATATTGAAAACAGAAGCCATGATGACTGCACGCAAGTCTCTGAAAGTCAGGGCTGCCTCTTTCGTAAATCGAACTGGCAGGAAAGGGAACAACAAAGCATCGAACATGCAAAAGGAAAGCCGGGTTTTCGTTTTAAAGACTTGGGTGCAAACATAATGCACAAAGTAATTCAGAAGGAAACAACATGCTCCCTAAATTAGATAATTAACATTGATAAAGGTGGAAATTTGGTAACCTAAGAATGGCTTGGATTGTGCATATAATCCAGTTTCAGCATTGTTATGCAATTACCATGTGCAAACTTATTGCAGTATTTTTGATATTTTCCAAGTGAATATTCAGTTCATTTAAGAAGAAACGTCATGGATGTTTGTCATGTACATTGTGACAGTTGCTGTTACGAATTCTGACAGGAGTATTTTGTCAACCTTGTAGTCGTGTAAATACTTGAGTCGGATTGACTTAATTATATATTGTTATGACAGGTATAGTTTTCCCACTGAAAATGTAGATTCACAAACTGTCTTCTTTCCAAGCGTAGTAAACCAATTTGTCTTGACAGAATAAATATTCTCTTCCATGTTAAAATGAATCATTTAAAAACAAACTTCTGGAATTGATGTACCCACTGTACTTAGTGAACTTTCAATGCTGCTGTGTAATCCTTGTGGAATTGAGCAAGCAACCTATTTTCTAGAGTAGGGCAGGTTGGTGCACAAGTGTAAGGTTCAAATACTTCAATCAAACCCTGAAGTTATGTCTTCTATGACCTTAAGTATTCTTGTTGACATATGCTGTCAAGTAAGAAACAGTGCGACAAATTTACAAATAAAGTTGGCAAATTTATATGTGCTTAACCTCTTCGCTTCCTTTCATTGCCTAATACGTATATAAGAGCGCTAACCTTAAGGGATATATATTTGGTCGATCTGGGTTGATGGTAACCAAATCTGTGAACAGCAGATCTGAAGCAAGGGTCTTCACAGCAGTAGGTGTAGCAGTAGCTGCCAGAACAAGGTGTGAAGCATCAGGAAAAATGCGGACAACTTCGGACAGCTTCTAGAAAGCTGCGCGAAACTTAGGACCCCTGTGAGAACGGTGCATACACGCTGATTCCGCAATCCTGAGAAGCCTCCAATGCCCTATGAACGGTGACTTCATTATCTGAGTGTTTTCATATAATTGATGGAAGCAAGTTGTTATGTGACAGTGTTATTCATTGTAAATAAGTGATTAAACTGTGTTGCGTTGTTTCTTTTGGAATTCAGTGCAGAGCTACGGCGTGCTCGTTCCTACTATATTTAGACCTGCAGTGAAGAATAGTCTGGAAGTTTCTAGAACAGCAATGGTAATAAAGCATTGGGAAAAAATACCAGAACGTATTTAGTTCATATAAGTTGGACAATACATGTTTGTCTCTCACATGAAATATTTGAGACCAGCACTGATCACATATTTTACATTATATTGCCTTTGTATTTGTACTGAAATTGAATTTGTACAATTTCGTTTGGTGGAATATAAAGTTATGAATATACATCTACAATGAAAACCATATAGCTGAATGTCTTAAACGCATCAGATATAAAGTAATTGTAAACGTATTCCATCCCAAGAATATCAATATTTGTAATTCGGTTCCATTTGTTCCAAGTATTTCGATAACAATGGAGAGAAATTCAGTTTTAGGAGAAATAGAATCGTTTCTATTCTATTCGTTTAGTCGTTTCTAATCAGTCAGTTATGGTTTACCAATAACTGCCAATGTTATTCAACATTATGTCATAGTCGAAAAACGCAATTGTATGTACCCGTGAAGATCCGGGTTAGAATTGATCTTCACTAACCCATACTTGCTGTAGGAGGTGACTAACGGAATCTGGTTGCCAGGCTCGCTGACTTGGTTGACACATGTCATCGTATCCCAAATGCGTGGATCGATGCTCATGCTGTTGGTCACGGGATTGTATGGTCCAGACTCGATTATTTACAGACCGCCCCCATATAGCTGGAATATTGCTGAGTGCGGCGTAAAACTAAACTCACTCACTACTTATACATACATAGTTTTAAGTGTTTACTGTTAAATAGTTTTAAATAACTCCCCTGTTAATAATTGCTGTTATATGATTAGTTTTAAAGGTTGCATTGATATATCTGTAAACCCAAGCCGCTAAAAGGAAAAAATCAATGGAAAAGCACCAACGGGGCTCTTAATTTTTTCCCCACAGATCTGCCTGCTTTCTAAATTTCATTAATTTTGATTGGTCTTTTAAGTTGTAGGGGACGAGTCGAAGGTTCGAGTATTGGTTAGTACTGTGGTCTTATGTTTTTACTGTGGGTATTAATTCGCATCATGCACCATACATACAATATTATATTATTATTTTTATTAATGTTGCTACTGTTGTTGTTGTTTTTGTTATTTATTATTGTTTTTGTAAGAGGGACACGTATTTACACGCAACTCCGCACTATCCTTTATCGCCTCTCTCTTAACTTGAAATGTCACTGTGACTTTATGGCTATGGAAAGAGTCCCGGTGAGAAAATGGAGACACCAAGGTGGGGCTAACATGAAACCGGACTGCCTCCACGTACACCAAATACCGCCAGTGTTTGCTGAAAAGACATGCTCGGATAATCACGCTTTGTCAAAGTCAACAGATAAAACTGAAACCGGTTTGGATAGGCCATGCTGTATTGAGCTTTCCAGGTGGGACCTTTCATGCTGTGTTTAAGCGAAATATTTCTCAGAGTAGAAACGTCGTTCTACCTCGTCATGTTTCTTCGGTTTACATAAAGCAACCCTAAGTAATGACCAGACGGTTTCTATATCGGTGCTTTTATGAAGGCAAGAATTTCATGGATGTCAACTTCTTTATTGTGAAGGGTCACGACGTTTCGAGGTATATTCTTACTCCTTCGAAACGTCGTGACCCTTCACAATAAAGAAGTTGTCATCCATAAAACTCTTGCCTTTATGTGTATCACTTCTAAATGCCCTTCAAACACTCGGTCCTTTTGTAGTTAATCTACTAATCCAGCACTTTCACCGAGACAAATGCAGGGTCACTTCATTCAAAATAGTGGTGTGCATAGTTGCTTCCCTGGAGCTCCCAAGAAATCAAATACCTAATTATGTTTGCATTTTTGTAATAACCCGAGACCTTCACCACTTCGGTCTTTTCTCCCATATTTAGCACACCGTGATGTAACGGAAATACTGTTAAAAGGCGTTAAACACAATTCACTCACTCATTTTAGATAGTGGCCACCGCGGACCCAGCAGTCGAAGTCCTCGCAGTTCGATGTAGATAGTTCAATTTTTAGGTGTGCCAGAAAAAAGTGGTCATTTGATGTTCGAAGCCTAGATATCTTTCCAGGTTAGTCGGGGCGGTGGGGGTAGCCTAGTGGTTAAAGTGTTCGCTCGTTACGCTGAAAACCCAAGTTTGATTCCCCACATGGGTACAACATTTCTGATATTGCTGGAATGTTGCTAATAGCGTCGTAAAACTCACTCACTCACTCACGCACTCACTCACTTTTAATTTTGCCAGCATAACATCAATTGTCCTGGGTTTAACCAAAGTATAAAAAGGCTAACATCATTTCGGTATTTTCCCCAACTCCAAACACTCTATCCTTCATAGCGTGCGTGCGTTTAGTCTCATAGCTTTAATCAAGTAGATATCTGCTTTTTAGGTGTAGGTGTATCTGAAAAGATATCTCGCCTCTGTACAAAATCCCAGGCATCCCATCCCCTCAAACCGTCCTCATCCCCAGAACATCTAATGGTCGGCCGAATCACACTTGGGATAGTTTCGTTCACGTTTCCGTACACCTGTGAAAACAATCGCCCACACACAGGCTTTATCGTTTAGCATGGTCGACCAAGCGAGAATGCAGGCCAAACGAGCGCCTCATTGAGAACGTGTGTCACCGTTCAGATCATGTTGGACTTACCCTCTCACATACTGAGGAAATAGACGTAAGTTGTCGATTGCAATCATGACTGACAGATTGTTTATTGCATCAACTCGCGTGGCATTTTCATCCGCCTAATCATACACTTCGGGGCTGACGTCACCTAGCGGACAGGTAAGGAATTAAGAGGTTGTTTCCGTTGACAATATTGCATGGGGTTTAAGTTAGGTTAAATTTCAACACCCAAAGTTTAGACTGTATTGTTTTAGCAACATTGTTATACAGCGTGTCTTTCATCAGCTGTTTAATCGGGGAGTATTGATCGTAGTTACACAGAAAATACCTGTGATTATATGATACAGGTGTAAAACTACTTGCCAGGTATTTACGACACAGTTGAATGGCTATGTAGGCGCTGTTTGGAATGTTCACCTTGATCAAATATGGCTACCTGTACACGTTGTCAATAATATCAATAATCGATTATCAATCAGGTCAGCTGGGTATCATTGTCTAGGGGAGAGTTGATTGATTTATTGATGTTAGGTGTATAATTGGAACGGTCGGCGGTATTGCTGCAAGCTGGTTTCACAGTTGCTGTTGCCATAACCAACATTTCGGGACTTGCATATATATTGTACGGTGTAGACCCAGCTTGTTTGCAAAGTGAGTAATTAAGATTCTCCTAACGTCGGCCATATATTCATCTTTGTTCAGCATACATACAAACCCGAGGTGAGAGAGTGGCTGGGTGAGTGAGTGAGAGAGAGACTCTATAAGAATAATAATTGTGAGGAGAGCGCGAGTGAGATAGTTGTGGGTGAGTGAATGAGTATAGTTTTATGCCGTTATTCCAGCAATATAACGGCGGGGGACACCAGAAATGGGCTTCACACATTGTACCCATGTGGGGAATCGAAACCGGGTCTTCGGCGTGACGAGCGAACGCTTTAACCATTAGGCTATCCCACCGCCCCTGAGTGAGTGAGATATTGGGTGTGTGAGTGACAGTGAGTGAGATTGTGGATGAATGAGTGAGGGGGATTGTGGGCTAGCCTGGCCTACCGCCCCTGACCCACATTATTTCCCCTTCTGCCTGCCTGTAAAGCTAAACTCTTAATAGAGCAAGTCTAGATTTCCTCATGTCTGAGAATCTCCCTTCTCACTGGGCCTCATTTGTTATGTATATGGAATTATTTGTTACAATCAAAATAATATTATAATCAGAGACTAGCATTTAGTCTAACTATGGATGAATGGGTGAGGGAGATTGTGGGCTTGTGAGTAAGAGAAAGTAGATTAGTGAATGAGAGATAGTGAGATAGGTTTACTCCCATAAGAACTACATCCCGTTTGAACTACATTCCAAATTAACTACAGGGATTAATTAGGGATTAATTATCTGAGTAGAGACACCCCCATGTAATGAGCACAGCCCATCAGCTCTCCCAGAAGAACTACATAATAAATTAAAAGTGACCAGTAATTATGTTATTGTAAAGGTAATCTACTAACCAGAAAGTAAAGGACAAGAGAGAAGGGTATGCTGTAGTTAGTGAATGTTCGTGTATTCATATGATAGAAAAAAAACAAGCCAAGCTTAGTATATTAAGGTAAAGGTATATTGGAGTAAAAGTGAAATACAAGACATAATAGTGACTAAACGATTGAGTGAGTGAGTATGTTTTTTCGTCGAGTGGAACACCAGAAATGGGTTTCACACATCGTACCCTTGCAGTGACACAAACCAGATATTTCGGCGTGACACGCAAACGCTCCAACTATGAGACTACCCCACCGGTCCATGACTGAATGTTTGAGTGAGTGAGGGTACCGGGGTGAGTCATCATGAGTGTCTGGGTTAGTGAGTAACAATTTACAGCTATCCGCAAGAGCAAGGGGACTACAACAACCGATTAGCCTTTGCATATTAGAGGTCGTACATGGATTCCTACCCATGGGCCCCCATACTGACGTCATGCCACATCATACATGTCGGCTACAGTGGCGCATGTCCTGGAACCTTGTATCCTGAGTCGTTGAACATCCTCCCGACTACTGGTTTGTGTGGGTCAGGCGCGATTTTTTTTCAAGTAGATATTGACATATTGCGATCAGTTTAGGAGGCATTTCGTTTGTCGAACACAAGATATGTGTTTGGAATGAGTATTTCCATAAACTGAACACTTATTAGATCACCTTTAGTAACCTCTTGCAGGGAATAGCTGCTAATGAGTGCGGCATCAAGCCACACTCACTCACTCATTAACAGATTGAGAATAGAATGGTAAAGAGTATTTTCTAGCATTGTAACGATGTCAGTATTACCCAGTTTTGTCTTCAGATTTATTGTTTGTTTATTATGTTTATTTGTTCATGGAAAGGGAGGCATAGCAACCATTTTCCACACTCATCTGCTCATACCGAGTGCACGTCGATCATTACGTGTATTACTGCCCGCATACAACCCTTTAAATACCCACGGATTGAGCAGAGGAAATATCGCAAGACACACAAGGAAAGTTGACTAAACTTAAACTTGAAGTTCTTAAATTATATTTGCGGATGGCGGTACAAATCAACATTCATACCGGCGAAATTCCAAATACAAACATTATATGACGTGTCTTCCTATCCTGTATTCACTCTCAAGTGGTAGTTGGATGATATTCTGACAGGCTTGTATATTTTAACAGTATGCTGCACCAGTATTCATTGGTAATCAGATCACCTGCCTGTCTGGATTTGTGACGAGCACCAGAGCGTAGAAACTAGTTTCCTCCTGTCGCTGTGTACTAAACATTCTCTCACGTTCACATCCATTCATTGTGATATAGGATAGCTATATATTGCTTTTCATCACTTTTGAGTTAAACTCGAAATGCAGTTCAACAAATTCTCAGTATGTAAGTGAGTGAGTGAGTTTAGTTTTATGCCGCACTCAGCAATATTCCAGCTATATGGCGGCGGTCTGTAAATAATTGAGTCTGGACCAGACAATCCAGTGATCAACAGCATGAGCATCGATCTGCGCAATTGGGAACCGATGACACGTGTCAACCAAGTCAGCGAGACTGACCACCCGATGCCGTTAGCAGCCTCTTACGACAAGCATGGGTTACTGAAGATCAATATTCTAACCCGGACCTTCACAGGTCTCTCAGTATGTTGCACAGTGATTGATATTATTTAACTTTTGACTGACGTGTTATTCTGTATTCAAATTACCCATATCAAAGCACTTCTTGTTTCACGCGAATGTGTTTTCTGAAACTTGTCCCAACTCTAAATGGATCCAAGCTCACATATTTGACACTACACAAAACCTCACGAATCACCTTAATATGAATAAAATAGAGTTTATACAACTTTGCAGTTTTTTAAAACTAATCTTTTTTTAAATTTCTAAAGGAATGTATAAATATTAATATCATTCCCAAAATTTGGGTAGAACAAATAAGATATAAATAACTGTGGAAAGACATTTAATGAATAAAGGAAATAATGATGCTCCAAAGTTTTTAACATAACCTTGATTGGACTTTTTAAACTGAATAATTTCCTTCCGACAATTATGAATAAATATCAACATGATGTATATTAGTTTGAAAACTTACAAACTGAAAGGCAATTTTAACGGAACTATCATGGCACCAAATGTTCTAGTTATCTGGACAAACTACAATTTACATTACATGATAGAGCCCTCTTGGATTGAGCAAACTGCCATCCAGATCTTACCCTTGTGGGGCCCTCCAGGAAAGTTCTTGGCGTACTGTCCTTGGCCAAGCCTTTTCGTATTCATGGAATATCAACTCGAAGTCTCAATTGTTTAATCCAGAACTCCACTGTTGCAACACTGTTTCATAGATGAAAGTCAGTTGCGACTTGATGAAACATTCATGAGAAATAGATGTAACTGCGTTGGAACTAAAGCATAACCTAGCATAGTCCTAGATTAAAGTGATTTGAAACGTTAGGTGAAACTTTCCTGGCGAATACAGACTTTAACCTGCCTTTTTCTGCAAAACAAACCTTCGAATTATCACTTAATGACGCAGACCGCGCGGCTTTCTCTCAACCGTCAACTGCCGCTCATAACGGCTCCTATTAGAGTTATTCCCCTTGATACCAAAATTACTGTGAGCAGCGAGTTGCACTCAACTTGATAAAACTTAATGTCTCTGAACAACTGATTCCAAACACTTGTACGTTTTGGAGGGGTTGAGCCCCGTCCGGGATGTCAACCCAAATACTGAGAGTGAGGCATTGTGTGCGCCAGCACACAAAGTCAGTGATGACTTCCACACAGTCTAGACCATGAACCTCGTGTGACCCCACGACAAATGTCGCGCAGCTCCTGTAGCCGAAAGCTATGAATGTACTCTTCCTTTCATCAACGTTAATCCATCCTCCAACGATCTTCCAGCTGCTGCAGGAAGGTGGGGTAGTCTTGTGTTTGAAGCGTTCGCTCCTCACGCCGACGACCCGGGTTCTATTCCCCACATGGGTACAGTGTGTGAAGCCCATTTCTAATGTCCCCAGCCATGATAATGCCGGAATATTGCTGAAACCAGCGTAAACCTCACTCACTCTCCCTTCAGCAATGTATATCTCATCATAAAACTGTCATATATGAAAAGAGATTTACCTTTGTAATAATGCATAAAGAAATATGTTTGTCAATCTCTAATACATGTGCACATCAACTGATATTAGCTATGAAAACGAGCTCTGGACCATGTGTCCTTTATTCATGACTAAACTTCTTCCTCAGTGTTCGTGGACGAGGTCTAGATACGTGTAGAAAGACTCCCTACTGCCCCGTGATCTTTCTACACGCAGCAAGACCTCGCCCTTGTACCCTAACCTTTACTTATACACTTTCGTATCATACATGAACGAGTTGAGTCTGGGCTGATATTAACATTTACCATACAAAAAGATAATTGTCATCATTTCGTCCACCTTTTCCCATCTGGATCAATGGCACACCGCAAGTACTCTATATAAACCGGTGTACAGTTGGCCGTACGTGAGTGCAAGTCGATACAGTCGACAAAGCCCAACAGCCATCTCTATACGAAGCTAATCTCAGTCCTCCAGCACATGCAATCAACGTAATTGTGCGCCAAGCGGCAACGAATGGCACGTTTTTTACTTCCTTTTCTTTACGCGGTGTCGTTTGGGTTTTCCTTTTTATCTGAATGTGATTTTAAAGAAATAAGGCTGGAACTTTGAGAGCCAAGTCGAGATGAGGAATCTTTAACGCGATTTGAAGACCATCTTAATTTTGCAATTGTTCACCAACTTTGGTCATTGTATGTTACCCTTTTAAGAAGTTTTAAAAACCTGTTGTGTGAACAGCCTATGTAAGTGTGAAGGCTTGACCCCAAGCCTATGTCAGCAATGGCAAATAATCAATATCATTTTGCTAAGTGCAGAATGTTTACCTTCACGAAAGTGGAAAGATGTCTGACCTGTTTCATTGAAGAGACGTCAAGCTGATGTGCCAGTGAAATAAAGTCAGTTAGCGGGGCGATGGAGTAGCCTAATGGTTAAAGCGTCCGCTCGTCACGCTGAAGACCCGGGTTCGCTTCCCCACATGGGTACAATGTGTGAAGCCCATTTCTGGTGTCCCCCGGAACATTGATAAAAGGGGCGTAAAACCATACTCACTCACTCTCTCAGTTAGCTCAGGCTACGGAATAAAGCGGAAATTCCACCCAACCCGACACGCTCACTCACTCACTCTATATTCAGCTGGAAGGCAACAATGTGTTAAATGACACAAACAGTGCACATTTGGTCAAATTTGCATATGTACATCAGACTTCCTCCGTGGTCTACCAGAACGTCTGTCCGAAGAGCGAAAGGTCATTAATTAATTCCCTTCAGTTGCTGAATCGTACCAAAAGACGTTAAAAGATGGCACTTCTTGTTACGCTGACTGACGTTAGGCATTAAAGGAATTACAAAGCACTGGACGGCTAGGAATGAGTCCGCTGTGCTTTGGGAACTGTTTAAATGAGGCGTGGTATCTGAATGGGCTAGCACTCGGGAGCAAAGACTTGAACAGAAGTAACATCTCACTTTAAGACATGGTAATATTTTCGGTTTTCAGAGCTTAAGTACATCCTTAAAGGCCGGGGTTCAAACCTATACACAGATGGGGTGTGGCCTCCTTGCCTTGTCAAAGCTGTTTTGATGCAAAGCAATGCAGTATTCAAGTACATTCCATGAAACATCACAAAATTGACTTACCAGTTCAGGTTGATATTAAGTCATAGTATAAACAAGTATGTTATGAAGACTCACAGCAAAAAGTATGGATGCAGGCAGTCTACAAAACATACATTTTGAAAATATATTTCTCATTTTTAAATCCAGATTTGGATTCCCCAATGTGTCAGTCAGGTGGCCAGAGGAGGTGCGTTTCCATAGAAAACAAGCCTTGGAGTGGGGGAAATGTTTCATTCAGGGTTTCATTTGTCAGGCATGCTATTTCTGTTTCAGAATGGCCGACCAGTCTTCCGGATTCTCCGACCAACTGGTCTCTGGCGACAGCGTTGGTGAGAGCGGTATTTATCAGCCAAACATCAACGGAGGCATGCTGAGACTCGGTGGATACGAGAACCAGGCTTTTGAAGAAACCTCAACAGACCCCGAGCCAGGAGTTCTAAATGGACATGCGCCAAATGCTGAAAATGGTACTGCGCCAAATGCCGGAAATGGTACTACTTCTGCCATACGCCTTCCACCACCGCCGTCAAAAAAGGACATTTTAGCACAGAAAAATACCTCTGCACAAACACCTGCAGAGTCCACCCCGACCGCAGACCAAACCGATGTATCGTCATCCGGGTATTCTTTACCGGTTGTTTACGACAACAGAAGTGGGAACAATGTCGTAATACAAGAACGGGTTGTGGTACCTCAGTCAGACGGAACAAGTGAAATACAGACTCGTGCAATACCAGAAAGATGGCGAGAATTGGATCGGCCGCTGCGTCAAAAACAGTTGAAATTCTTGAAGGTCTTCGGCACTATAGCAATCATATTCTTCTTTCCGACCGGCATTCCTGCATGTTACTATGCTTTCAAGGCAAAGACTGAGTTTGACGAGGGAATCATGAGAGGCAACATTGACACGGCGGCCAAATACGCCAAAAGGGCCGAACGGTTGATCATTTTGTCGGGGATCCTCGCCCTGATCTTCGGAATATTGATCTTTGCAATGATTGAACGTTCCATGAACCCAGAGAGGTACGCAAGCTGGCACCCTGGGGGTATTGTTGGGCAGTGAAGTAGGGTTACTGGAGTAATGCATGTACTGCACAGTAATACGCAGCCACGTATAAACCATAAACTTGCTGTGCATGTGGGGTATCTTCCCATAAGACAGACCTCCCAAAAGACAGACCGCGTAAAACAACACATTTTATGGTTGGTTGCATAAGGCATAATTAAGCTGTACCCTTGATAATAATGGTATGTGCCCAGATAAAACAAGACAACATTAGGTATTAACTATAGTTTTATCAATTCATGTAATGAATTATGGTGTGTGTTTTTTTAGATTAAGACATATTGCATCAACATATATGTACATAAACATAATATTTGCCAGATCACATTTACTTGTGAATATTATCAAAAACAATATTTTATACATGTACCTATCAAACATGAGAACAAGCCGTAAGTCCCAAAACATCAAAGTCATTTTATCTCTCCCAAACTCTTAATCGTAGTATATTTGTTATTTTTAAATATGGCTAAAACTCAGCAAAACATCCCATTCTCTTTTTACTTTGTTTATACTGTATTTTATAAATACTATTTCACTTTCATCATCAAATAATAAGTAATAAAAACATCCTGTTCTCCAGTTATTTGCAAAAACTAATTCAACAACAACTGTTATAAAAACGTCCTATTCTCCAGTTATTAATACTTGTAGTATACTAGAATAAAGTTAGGTTTAGATGTGGTTTTGAGAAATTGATGATAATATTGTTATGACTTGTTGAATAAATACATTATCAATACTGATTTTTTTTTTAGTTTATGACATTTTCCTCCCCAAATCAATGACCTTTTTCCTATGACGTTGTTTCCTACAACCTCTAGGAGTACCTGGGACGCACCTTTCTGGGGTGGGACATACTCTGCTCTTCTTAGGCCAGCTCATTAATTAAATAGGTGTGGACAGCATGGCTCAGCTAATTATTGTACTCATTGAGTCTGTCTTATGAGAGGTCTGTCTTTTGGGAGGTCTGCCCTTTTTTGAATGAACCGCATGTGGAATATAGGCCTTATATATGGAAGTATCTACTGTAACTGGCGTATGAAATGTAAACATAATTTGCTTGATACGATATTCAGTCTTTAAAGACACGCTGTTTAATTCTAAAACCCACCTGAGTGACTAACTGACTGATATATTTCCACACTCACTCATTCCCTCGCTCGTTCACTCGCTCACTCATTCTAATATGCCCTCAAAATATTCCATTTCCTGCGAAAGATTATGACGTTATGATAAATATCAAGTGCGTTTTTCTGAGAAATGTGTACCTGTGCCTAAGTGCTTATTTATCCCACTTCACAGTTTAAGCAGACCGTAAATAACCCCTAGCTCATTAATTTACACTCGAAATGGTTAAAATTCTGGTTAAATCATTCCCAGTCTGTTGCGGACTCCCGTGGCCAGAAATCTACAATCGTTGGTTCGATTCCCGTTTTGATCCTGTTATATTCCGGGGTATGTCGGCACCATGAACTGCCCATGTGGTTCACGAAATTGGTGACCTCTGACCCCTGCATCACTCCGGGCTTTCCTCCCACACTAACCAGGCATGCCCTGATATATGTGACGCCATCCGCATACACGTGAAGACAGTTCAAGCCCTAAGGCCGATCATGTTTCGTACATATAGTGGCGGGATTAGCTAATCCTTATCCCTTTAGTCCATTTGGACTTTTAATGTTCCTGCACCGATTATTTAAATGGACCATTTCGACCTGGAACAATGGTTTAAGGAATCATTCACACTCTTATCACTTCATGCACTGTCGGTTCAACAATGTAACCCAATAATTACGTACCTCGCCGTAATATTACTGTAATACTGTTACCAGATCCCCTGGTATACTGCATGTGTAAAACGTAAGTAGCTTTGGTGTAAATGCCAGCTTCATCAGTACTGGTAGTCTGCGACACAGTATGCTGTGGGCGTGTATGGTCGCCCAATTACTACAGTGTGCATATATAGCAATGATCATTGTTTACGATGGTTAAATTATCCCATACTTGCCAAATTGAAATTTCACAAACATTATGATTTGATGAACTGTGGAAACAATTTGTGTTGGTATGTAAATCTGTGCATTTGTCGATCAACAGTGTCAGTCACATGTCAAAGTGTGATCAGATGACACACTAGGATTGAGAGTGTTCCACTACTTGTATGTCACAGTATTGTATTTACATGTACATGACTGCTTGCATTATTCATAATGGGAATCCACCAGATGTTGCCAGAGCGTGTGCTGAATATACACATTATTACCAACAACAGCTATTTGTGGAAAATAAGCTTCTCGCATAAAACCATCCTGGAATGAGACCAATGGACCAGTGATATCAGAATCTACGCACTTTCAGCCACAGATGTGCATATTAGACAAACGGTTAATCTCTGACGATATAATATTATATTTTGAGAGAAACAAATAACTCCATTCAAATTGAACAGGAGCCATCGCGAGCTCGGAATGAATTTAGACTTGCTTCATATACTGCTTTTCCATTGCAGAACAGGTTGGACGGAAAGGTAAATAATATGGTTCAGGCCTATGACAGAGAGTCACTAAATCACGATGCAGGATAATATTGCCCTTGGCCTCTACAGGCTATTCAGGGTATTGAATTTAGCGTTTTATGAATTCTATTGATGATTTAAAGGGGTTTGTGGATCTATCCAGAGCAATCAGTTTACAGCGAGAGTTCTAGCGTTGGATGAGTCTAAACCTGTTTAGTGTCAGTTAACTTTCTAACTGGGTATCAGCTACCGCTCTGATGTCGTAACTGTTAACTTCCTTCTCATATATTATGCTTTTATTGCTTCCTAGCTAACCGTGAATGTATGATTATGTACTACCCGAATAAGGCAATTCATTGTATATTATTATTGCCTTGTTATAACAGAGATATCCTGGATAATGGATAATTATATAATCTGTGTGGAATCTCGATGGCTAGTGCCGGCACCACCTCACTCACTCGTTGATCGGGGAGGATTTTTCTGTTTAGAGGATATCTTTGTAAATTGTTGGTAAAAGTATATTTTACTTTTCTGATTGAAGCTGAATAGGTAACACTGTTGTCTTTACCATACTGCTGGAATGGAATATTACTGTTTGTATGTGGTTATATTAAGATTATTTACACCCATTTGAATCCCTCTGTGTTGTTAAATGGTCCTGATGGAGACAGCAATATAGTCTGTGATGATGTCTTGCAGCAATAACTCGAATGTGATACAGTGGACAGATGACACTATTTTAGAGAAATTTATTAAACATATCTATAAACGAAAACGTTTTTTGTGTGTTCACGTTTTTGTACGTTATGGCGTACAGGGTTATGGAAGCGTCTGTAAAATCATAACACCAAGCCTCGAGGTCCGTTCCACGTGAATATCTCTTTTTGCAGCTCCCAGCAATATTCGATCCGTCACATCATGCATGCGTGTTTGAAGGATCGTTTGTTTTGGTTTGTTGTTTAACGCCGCAATCAGCAATATTTCAGCTATATGGTGGTGGTCTGTAAGTAATCTAGTGATCAGAAGAATCGAGTAGGGACCAGACAAATAAGAAGCGGGGCCATGTCAGCCTCCCACAAGATCCCGTTCAGGTTTTCGGTACCTTTCCGTGACTCCAAGGGAACCTGGGGATACGTGTTTTCCAGTATTGCCTGTCTGTTCACAGCATGAGAACTGAACGTGGTAATATTTGGTAAAATATCCAAACCTGTGATCAGAAAACATAAATTCTGTTTTTACTTTCATTGGCACCGTTATGTTAACCTGAATAGTGAAGTACCAATTCTGGTGTTGCTGCTACTGGTACAAGTACTATAAAAAGTCACGATGATGATATTTCTATTCTATTTTATTTTATATTCGCATAACACATTCAATATAATCCTGTGTGTTTCTCAAGATGTTTCGTTATAGTTGTACCTGCTGATCCGAGCTGCAGCGTGTATTGTGGATAAAGAACACACGCTTTCACAATAAGATAAAACAATCTATCATTTCTCATCATACTCACAATTTTCGACGCCATTATTGTATGACATTTCACGACGTTATAGCATTACGTTATGAACGTACATATGAACGGAGTCAATAGGCTGTGCAGCTCCCGATCGATGGTTATGGCCATGGTGCATTAAGCTTACATGTGACGTAAGTGACTCACTCTGCACTGTCCAGCGCCGAGAACAAACTCATGTCAGGACTCTTCTTCAACTGCGTATTCAACATCACAACGTCGTTGATGCAAACAATGACGACAAAGGATAGAACAAACACGAAGAGTAAAATGTGTGGTGGGTATTTATATTCTTAATAATATTTCATAATGATAATAACATGATTAAATTTACGTTTGCTTACATTTTTTTTACTTTGAGATAATATATGTTCACTGACATCGTCTGACTGAATATTCCTATAGGATGACACTTGAAAATACTACAAAATGTGATTTCCTATTCCAGTTCTTAACTTGTTCGCGTCTAAATATGAACGACTTCATGGAGAGGTGACAGGCGTCACCCTATCGTCTTTTTCAAGATGGCGGCACTTCCGGCCACTTGACATCACTTCCGGCTTGAGGGTCATGTGATCGGATACCTAGCTTTATTGATGGGATCTCGCGGGAGGCGCGTTCTCGCGAGAAGGGACGTGAAAAAACGAGAGGCTTCGGAAGGAGGGGTGGTGGTCTGTGCACGTGTGTGTGGGGGGGGATGTCAGCGGGGGGCTGGTTGTGCCTGTTTAAGCCCTTTTTTAGACGAATGTGGGTCAATTCCAGCTGAGGTTGACCTGGCTGGTTGACTGGGGCTGGGCGTCTCAGGGACTTGTTAAGCAGTCCAGACTACGGTGATCGTCATTGTCACAGTCACGGCAGTGGCGTGGACAGTCGTAACTGCGACGGCAATTGTGTTTTTCACAGTTTCCTGTGGACATCTGTAATGACGATGTCATTGAACACCATATATTGTGCAGCTCACCATAGAACAGTACAGATGTCTATCTATCTAACAGTACATCTGTTTGTCACAGGCGACAACGGTAGGAGGAGAGAGACGTCTGCGTGGTTCCAGTTTCAGTTGGCAAGTGATGGTGAGAGTTGAGAAAGCTTGAACTGGTACATGCCTCACGTCTCATTGGTCTTAATTGCCTCACGCGCCTATGACGTCATTGGCTACGACAGCATAGGGTCTTACATAAACACGGCTCCGGCTGGTCTTGTCAGTTGCAGCCCCTAGCTGATACACAAGATATGGAAGAAGGGAAGTTGAGGAGTTGAAGAGGACCCAGTACCAGCTGGAGTGGACTGACCAATACACTTCTGAGGAGTTCGGGACAAGCACCCGACATAATATAGTCCAGTTTAGCTAAGCTTGGCTAGTATGTCAACGATACAGTTCTAGGGAGATCCCATCAAAATGGCCACGCCTCCGGTCACATGACCGATCACACAACCAATCACATGACTTCCAAACCGGAAGTGCTGTCACGTGATCGGAAGTGGCGCCATTGTGAAAAGACGGTAGGATGACGGGGTACACTACTGGTCGTGGAGGGGTGGGTGTCATCATGTCACGTGGCAAAATGGAAACAATTCAGAATATATACCCTTCAAACGGGACGTTAACACTTTCTAGACATATTGCATGTTTATATCATGATGTTTAATGCATTTGTAATCGATTGGAGAACAGTTTAATGAATATTTTTAAAAAACGAATTCCCGTTATGTTATGTAATAAAATTGCACAAACATTTGTACTGTCACGACACTTTATGGTACAGACGATGTACTCGATATCCGACTTCTTCTTCTGGAAGGATAGCAGTTATCAGAAACAAATGAAAATTAAACATGTCAGAATTCCTTACACATATAAATTCAACATATACATGATTTAAGAAAAGAAAAATCGCTTTTTAAGCTAGAAGTTTCAATGTAGCTCCGATACCTTTAAGGTTCTTTCGAATTTGAAATATTTGTACATGTCAAATCATAGTTCGAAACCTATGAATATAAAACACACTAGCTTTTTCTCACACTTAAAATAATATCTCAAGATTGAGTAGATATACCACGTTCAACAAAACAACATTCAGTGTAACGGAAAAGGAGAGGGGGATATATATATGTAAGTTCTCGTTGTTACGATCCCGGAGTTTTTTCCCAAACTTAGACTATCCCATATAACTTTATATGAAGGATAGTCGACTTCTACCTGTAACATTAAGACAATGAGAGGAGACGCCAACTGTCGACTCTGGACCAGACGATCCGGTGATTGGTTCATATATATAGCTTCGATCTTTGCGACATGCATCAAGATAAATTCTCCTGTAATAGTCGCTTGTTTCTTTCCTTATGTCGAGACCATATTTTTCTGAAAGATCGAGATGATATGATTCGCACGCTGATAATCATATAATATGTACTACCCGTGAAGGTCCGGGTTAGAATTGGTCCTCAGCAACCCATTTTATTTGTAAAAGGCGACTGATGGGATCGGGTGGTCAGGCTCGCTGACTTGGTTGACACATGTCATCGTATCCCAAATGCGTAGATGGATGCTCATGCTGTTGATCACCGGATTGTCTTGTCCAGACTCGATTATTTACAGACCGCCGCCATATAGCTGGAATATTGCTGAGTGCGGCGTTAAACCAATCAACCAACCAACATAATATATACATAAATCAATGTCTTCGTTGATCTTATGCGGTCGCAACGTGAAATAAAGAAAATATAGACAATTGTACTCATATTTGATTACCAAGCTAAGACACATTTTCTCAACATTACGCCTCGATGAAAGTAAGTCACAGTCAAATGAATGTTGATACATCCGATCCCTTTTGCTCTGTGACGCCATGATGCACCGTCCAAACGCTATCTAGAAACGTGCAATTTCCACGTCCATCGAATACCCATCCTTGGTAGACAATACACATGTGTTCAGCCGTGACGTGTCTACGCCACATGTGTCTGTGACGTCACACATTGAGTGATGCGAGTAATGATTATAACAGTACCGTCATTCTTGAAACGTCAGTCTTCCTGTGGATCCAAAGGTCAAGGTCAACTGTTTTTGCCTATAACTAGAGCTGACACCGTAAACACAACTATGTTTGACGTCATATGACGTAGTGCACTAGCCTCGTTACAAGCGTTAGCCTTACACGACATTAGACAGCCGTGGTAGTCGTGTTCCTTGAACCGAAACAAGCCGCAGGTGTTGAGCATCGACTCCATGCCACAAGACCGGACCAGCATCTCGGACTGGGTGTCAACTGCAGACAGAAGCAACGTCAGCGTCAACAGCAGACAGACAGATAGATATGTTATTAACGTCTAAACTCAGCATTTGGTGCATAAAATATACACATACATTCGATAAATCCTTGAGCTATTGCATACAGAATTACGAGAGATCATTATGCATAAATCAAAACAAAATCTAAACAAAGTATATTTTCACTATTATAATAAAATATTAAGTAAGTAGGAATTTACAAATTTGCAGCACGTGTTTTCAAGATACTATAGGAGGTTTGGGCAGTTTAAAGGACGGCTTAGGGTATGACGGTATATAATTAACCTTATCTGCATTCTTAAAGAAAATAAAACTTCTTTTTAACTAGGTACACTTGTTAAAAAGATTAAACGTTCTACAGGATATAACGGACATTGCAGTAACATTTAACATTCATCTTCAAGAAAACCTTCACAATTATGCAATTAATTCTTTTAGATAAAGGACAACATCATGTGTTCCAGTTTCAACTCTCAGACCAACTACATTATGCAACATACCATGGCTACAGAGGTATTGACATGATACAGGACAAGGACTGTACCATATAAGGGTTAGGGGTACAATGGGATGTATGCTACACTGTTCGTGTCTAGTGTTCTGACTTCAGTTCCCAATCGGTTAACCTGGTGCCCGAGTACACCACAATAACACATGACTAAAAATGTCAGTTTATGTAAAAACATGTCAACGTGTAACTTTATTAGTGTAAGCTAGTAAATATATTAATCATACTGTCGAACACACGTGAGGGTAATATTGCTGTTTCCCGAGACAAGCTGGCCTACAGACACAAAGATACAAGTATTAACAGCCTATTCAGAAGCCACCGTAGACATTGGACTATTATCTGATACAAACACTACAGCTGTATGTACTTGCCCATGGCCATTGCCCAATTGCAGAACAATCGAGGACGAATACCGTCTGCGGGACGGCGTTAACGTCAGCCGAGTTGCACCTGTTGTAATTCCGATAGAGTCCTCGACCAACAGTGATACTGACACTTGATATTTTGAGACGGTCCCTGACATGTACTGCCCGTGCGTTACATGAACGCTGTCACCCTGTCTGCCTGCCAGATGGGTCACGGTATAGTTTGTTTCTTTGAAGTGTTTCTACCATGGAATGTTTTCAAAGTTTTTCGATATTTTACGGGTAATCATTATGATTAGGGAATGGTACATCGTGATTACTCATATGCCATATTAGGTAGAGGTGGTATGAATGATTATATATGAGTTTTGAATCTGAAATATCAACCATTATCAAAAAATTGCCAAAAAGCATTTTCCACGCATTTCTGGTCTTACTTTTTAATGAGACAGTTTAATGTGGCTTTGCTCGGTCGCTATCTGTCTCTCATAGCCTGTTGTTGTCCTGGTACCGCACACATTTGAAGCATCGTGCTTGTATTGTAGAATTTCATTGAACTCAGCTATTCAATAATTGCTTTTTCTGAACGTAAAGTCGATTAGTTTATACCTATACACTTGGGAAAGATCCGTAGGTTCAAGGTATAGTTTCGAGAATAGTACTCTCAAAACTGTCTGTTTTGAGGTATAATGGGATTCAATGGGGCATAATGAGAAAGAATATTACATCAATTTGCGACATGCGTGCACGTGTGTGTATGTGAGTGTATGTGTGCATCTCTGTATCCGCCTGTGGTGTGTGTGTGTGTGTGTGTGTGTGTGTGTGTGTGTGTGTGTGTGTGTGTGTGTGTGTGTGTGTGTGTGTGTGTGTGTGTGTGCGAGAGAGAGAGTGTGTGTGATGCTGTGTGTGTGGCTAGCTGGCTGACACGCTGTGAGTCGTTTTTCATTTCAGTCCCGACTAACACTGGTTTTACAGTGCTAGCCCATCTAGGGCTGTGTGTGCACAGTTTATTTTCACCCATTTTCTCGAGAGTTCCAATGGTCATTTAATAAACTTATCAGGACAAGGGTGGGACGCACCCCCAATCTGGATCCGCCTATGGTTACTTGCCACATGTTTACAATCCGACAGATTCTAGAACCTTTCTGGGTTGAGTCCCATCTGGGATTAGAAACAACACGGTCGCGGTGGATTGGGTTAGATCCCTGACTATATGAGCCTCACAATGAGAATGTAGGTTCGAATCCCGGATGGAGACGAGCCAACCTTATAATTCGAATTGATTAAGAATCTATCGTTCAATTAAGTTTAACACCTCCGATGACACGTGGTCTGTCGATCTATAAACCATGTCTTCTTGTGTCAAACGTTACCTAATATCTGCTTAAATACACCATACAAAATGACTGTATTACCCAAATTTACTAACGTCAGGAAATACTCGTTTCATCCGGCGGCCATATGAACAACGTTTGAAATCTACGTATCATCTGGCCGTCAGATTTACACACGTTTAAAGGGATGTTAAAATTAACGAACTTTCAACTCTGCATTTACATGTATTTTACAGGTGTGTAAATCTGGCCATTGTTTTCATGTGTTTCCTAACATGTGTAACATATGTAAATCCTGTGATTGTAGGACATGCATTTCAATACCCTTGAAATCTCGTATGACCAAGGTTAGGTTTGTCATATAGTTAGTACATGCGTAAATGGTTGGAAATGGGTAAATATAGTGTTACAAGATTAGCACTACTTTAACAAGTATTTCAATGGTTCTGTAATGTAACTGTCACATAGGGTTCGTTAGCGCGTCCAACCACGCCATAATGTACTGAGATAATTAGAAACACATGGTGAAGTGATACCCATGACTGAGCACAACTAATAACATGCGTGTCTTTCATGACATACACATGGTGTCTGTTTAAAAGGTTCAAATATCGGGTCTATGGGCCAGAGCGATATGTATGTTAGGGAGTGTGTGTGTGTGTGTGTGTGCGAGGGAGCGGGTGTGGCATGGGGTAGGCCTAGGGTGGGGTGGTAGCGGTGGGTCGGTGTTGGGGTACTGATAAGTCTTTCAGACCAGTAGGTAATATCGTTTATACTTTTTGTAATGGAAATTACATAACAGTTTAAATAACTGACCTTAGGTACACTTCTTATATATGCTATACAAGGAGACACTGCTAATTACAATAAAACACAGACAGATGTGTTCACACAGACATGAACCGGTAGGTCCCTAATTTTAGTGCTCACTTGTATGAGTTATCCGACTGATCATAACTGAACAAATTTCATTATCTATACTTTCATAAAAGATGATTACAATGTATTAATGATTCCCGGTGTAAATTACTGTTGTAAATGTGTGAACATGCACATACTTGGTATGGCCTCTTTTTGATTCAGAATACAGGTATACACGGACGTTTTCTAAAATTACAGTTACCCGACGGAATATACTGTAGAGATGTTTTCTTTCCACCTCTTGGGCAGACTAAAGAAAATTGTAGTGATTGCAATTAGCTCATAATTTTCATAATAGACCTATTTTGTTTCCACCTCTTGGGTAGACTATAGGAAATTGTAGTGATTGCAATTAGCTCATAATTTTCATAATAGACCTATTTTGTTTCCATCTCTTGGGTAGACTATAGGAAATTGTAGTGATTGCAATTAGCTCATAACTAAGCAGTTTCGATAATTGTTGAAAGCTTACTACCTGACAGCATTATGTTGCTCATGCGTTTTCCTTTTTGCTTTTTGCTGTGTTATACATTATATAATTGTGTTAATCATTTTTGGTATCTCAATATCATGGAATATAATTTGTACTTATATTACTATCAAAGTACCTAAACGTATTATCTGTATGCTTTACTGTTATTGGGTGAAACTGTTAAAAGTACCTTCGTACAGAATTTCGAGGAAATAGAAACAGAAAATTACTCGATCAATGGAAAACTAAATTGGATAAAGATCGCAAACAATCATTATTTATATTCCACTTTTTAAATTATCGGTGTGCAGATCATGTCACTAACATAAAAACTGAAGGATATATTGTGACAAAACTGGGTTCAAAGGCACATTAAGACTGAAAATATATTATTTGATCTTAATTTCAATTGAAAAAAAGAGACGAAGTAATTTTGAAGATTCACAGACTAACAACATCTATATTGGGGCTACAGGTGCAGGAAGCATCTTCAATTCTAAAATCACATTCCACAAACATCAGATAAAGGTTTAAATGACAAGCATATTTATTGGTATCTTGCCAAGCTCTGTCCGCTCTCAATGCAGTATAACCAGAGTGCTGTGGTCACTACCTTAGGTGGCCAAATTCCGCCATCCCATTACTTTACAGTATTTTCTTACAGGCATATACATGGAAAGTTAACTTTTACGGGTATGGAAAGAGTGGGGGGAAACACGTGCAAAGTATTAGTCAACTGAGATTATCCTTCAAAAACATCATATGTACAACAATCACTTATCATTATGGCATTGCAAAAAGGACATATTTCCAAACAGCATAACATCACCTTTGGCTGGAGTTCCAAATAATTTGACATCGAAAGCCTGTCAGTTAACGCAAAGGAAATAACCCTTGTGTTTTAAAATGATAGTCACAATGAAGTGTAGGTTGCCATGCATTTTATAGTCTGTCTCACAGTCCCTGAACCATATTATTTTCCTTACTGTTTAGTCTATCTCACAGTCCCTGAACCACATTATTTCCCCTACTGCCAAGCCCTCTCTGCAATGCTAAAGCCTTAAATGAAGCAAGTCTAGACCTCCTCAGGTCCAGGATCTGTTAACATCTGCAAGAACCCTAACTCACTTTGGGGGTCGGGTTACAAAGTAAACATATCTATAGCTAACTGCCATGGCTAGCCGGACTGAATCTCCTGTCTCCCTGGGGCTCCTTTTCAATTTAAATGGGCTTGTTTGTTACTATCAAAATTATATATATTCAGACACTAAGCGTTAGTCTATGGATTTTCCAATATAATGGAAATACTAATATTGACCAAATAAAATTCTAAAGGAGCCTTTCTTCAAGCAGTGACTTAACGCCATACATAGC